TTAGCTGTTAACCACAAGGTCAGTAATTCTGTCTCACCAGCCCCGACTTTTAACGTAGCTTGCTTAGGGACAGGGGGTTGTCCCTCCCATGCCTGCAAAGGCCCCATAGAAGAGGTTGGAAAGACATCAGGCAATCATTAGACACCTATGAAAACACCAAACGGAGCATGCTCGTACTCAAGCCCTCGAGCCAGGTGGGAGGTACACCTGGGTGGGCCAAATGAGGCCCAGGCTCATGACATCACCCAGGTGGGCCTAACTCAGCCAAGGGCGTCAACCAATACCATCAACCACGCCTTCCCCCAGCCAAGGGGTGGGCTAGAATAAAGGCAGGGAGGAGCTCTGGGATGCTCTTACCCTGCTCCTGGTCAGAGGCAGGTAGAGGGGAGGGGCACATGCTCCAGGCCTGCTTGGGGCCCACCGCCTCTTGGCTCATGTGCTCTCAGCCTCTAGGATTTTGGGGCTTCTGGCCTCCCAGGATCCCTCACCAAGATCTGCACATGTGCGTGCTCTTTTCCTCGTGGTTGTTCAGGTCCAGCTGTGAATGCCTTTGAGACTGTAAAGCCTGAAACTTGTCCTGTCCTTCATAAAAACCCACTTGGATGACAAAACCGGCTTTGGCGTGAATTCTTTCATCGCGTGAAGCCAAGAACCGAGGTATTACCAACTCCAGAAACCTAACACAACCATGGGAGAATTCCTTCAGTAAAGATACCTATCCTGGAAAACCTTAGGGGACATTTCTATTCCGTCTTATACTATAGGGCAGTGTTTCCCAAAGAGGTGATACCCCATCCCACCCCATCCCCCAGGGGTGCTGGAACGATTGGTGGTGGGGCTGTAAAAACATACATTTTATCTTGGATTATGGCCTACAGTACAAAGGTTCTTAATTGATAGAGGGGGGGGAGGCTCTGAGTTGTGGTTTTTTGTTTTTTTCTGAAAAGGGGGTGATTGACCAAATACGTCTGGGCACCTGTGGTATATGAGTCGGAATTGACTCAATGACAGTTTGGTCCGTTTTAAATCGGCCCAGTTTCTTTTCCACGGCCAGCTCAACCATCTCGCAAAGTGGCTTCCTCCCTCTCCCCGGACCTCGACT